ATATAACATACTATACAACCAATAGAAACTTTACTTTTACTTTATTACCTATCAGTGCCTGGGGTCCAGTGCTATTTTCTCACAGCAGGTTCTTATTGATATGGGTCCTTGGCAGCGCTATTATAGATATGGGAGCCAACTGTGATTTCCTGATGAATCAGAGATCACCTGTTGCATCAGGACTGGTCTTGCGTGTGATGTGTCCCAGGCAGCTGCTGGCAGCAGCATGCCTAAGCATGTGTCTTTCTCACCTAGGTGAGAACCGAGGAAATGGGAGTAGGTACCACTCAACAAAGGTACCCACTCTCCATAAAATAAAATAAAAATGTCAGAAGTGTTTGGACATTGGGGTGGGTAGATAAATAAGGGGCACACTCACTTTTGAGTGGAGGTCCGTTGTAAGGGGTATTTCCAAGTAGCAGCCAAATTTGGGACAATATCTACTTTATATTTTTCCTAATTCATATAGCAAATATTTAAAATAAAAATTGCAGCTTACCTTTTTAGGTGTTCTTTTCTGGAACATCCAGCTAGGAAAAATTCTGCTTAGCTCTCTTTTTTATGAGTGGTACTTGATCAAATTTGACTACAAAAGTGGAAATACACTTTGAGGCCTCATGCACTTTGGGCATTTTAAAAATGTCGGTATCATTAGCTGTATAAAGCAGTGTTAAAAATTTGAGTTTTTCTGCATTTTTGCATTAGCGTTTAGACACGTTAGCGTTTTTTTACACACAAGAAAAAAAATTCAATGTTGGCTAAAAAAAATGCTGGTTTGCCATGTTTTACTTTGTTTTCTTGCGTTTTACAGTGTTTACCAGCATTAGAGCGTTTTTCCAGCTAAAAAACTTCCCTAGAAACCCACTATTTTGGGGGGTTTTTCCAGTCAAAAAACTCCCGTGCCAAAAAAAAAAAAACGCTGATTAAAGCCTATGTGTGCATGGACACATAGGATAATATAATAGAGAGCTTACTGACTGTAGAAAAAAACGCCAAAAGCCAAAAAAAGCCGCTGTAAAATGTTCAGTGTGCATGAGACCTGAACAGTAATTCCACCAGCACTTCCCAAAATAAACTGTAGGGGGGTGGCAAAGAGTATCAGATCAAATTCCATAACAGCTAGAGCAGGTAATTTACAGGCATCTGACATCTCAGGCTAGGGCTACATGAGTAATGTAATCTCTTGCACCTGAGAGGTTTAACCACACAATGACATTTGCCTCATTTACAGCACATTGAAATTAATGTGCTGCTAATAGGATATTTATGAAAGTGTTTAAATGTGCCAGAAGCACAGACTGAATCGCTTCTGTAGGCCTAGACTGAATGGTGATCCTCCGTTTTAGCCAACGTCCACTGTTGTTCAGACATCTGGTGATTTCATCATTCTGCTTTATGATAGCATAGTGGAATGTGCTGTAATGGGAATTATGCACATATTAGAGTCACAGATGCACTGCAGTTTGCCAAAACAATTTTTTGCACTGCACTACCTTTTCCAATGAATAAACATTTTGTATATGGTTTAATATGTTAGGTTAATTTTTTAAAACTTATTTTCAATGTCTTTGACTTGTGGCTTACATTAAAAATAATACCCGATGACCGTACTGATGAAGGACTTAGTTCAAGCACTTTGTGTTATATGGTAACAAAGCTATGTCCTTGTCTCTTAATCATGCTCCTGCATTGTCACCCTGTCACATGGGCTTCCAATCGCAACTACAAGTTGATGTCTCACATTTAAGCATGGTCCACTGTTGTCACCATCAGAAAACACACCCTGAGCAGTGCCATGCAGTCATCCCTGTGGTGCATGTCTATATTCGGAAATGACCGCTTAGAACAGGGGTGTCAAACTCCATTTCATCACGGGCCATATCAGAATTATGGTTGCCTTCAAAGGGCCAGTTGTATCTGTAAGACTAGATGTCCAGAGCACCCCACCCCCTTACATCAGATGTCAAGAATCCCACACCCTCCCTAACATCACCGCCACCTCCCTTTGGGGCAGAGCTGGAAAGCAGAAAATGCAGGATCTGGAGGAGGACAAAAGGAGGAGTGGAGTCAGTTACCAGAGTTGGCTGAATGCTGAGACCAGGGGAGGCAGAGATGAGGCAGTGCTGCAGCTGCAATAAGAGGTGCAGGATTTGGCAGAGAGGAGTTCTATTTTCCTCTCTGCTGCCGACTTCTGAGAAAAGCTGAGGGCGGAGACAAGGGGGGTACCTTCAGGAGAGGTGCAAGGACCACATGAAATGGCCTGGAGGACTGGATTCGGCCCGTGGGCCTTGTGTTGACACCTGTGGCCTAGAGTCTGCAGGGGATAAAAGCAGCACTAGGATGCAACAAAGGTTAAAAAAGTTGCAAACAGTGTTTAATTTTAAAAAGGCAACTGTTTATGATACACAGTGCTATAGCAAACAAAATGTCATTCAGTTAGGTTTTACAGGTGAAACTCAAAAAATTAGAATATCGTGCAAAAGTTAATTTATTTCAGTAATGCAACTTAAAAGGTGAAACTAATATATGAGATAGACTCATTACATGCAAAGCAAGATAGTTCAAGCTGTGATTTGTCATAATTGTGATGATTATGGCTTACAGCTCATGAAAACCCCAAATCCACAATCTCAGAAAATTAGAAAATTGTGAAAATGTCAGGAATGGACTTGCCAGTAATGGTGGGACTCACCTGCCTTGTGGGCTGCAGTACCAGGGCTGGCCAGCAGGTGCTCTCAGCAATCAGAGACTCAACCCTGCAGCCAGCCCAAACACCTGAAGCTGATTATGCAGGTGTATTTAAGGATGGCCAGACCTGCAGTCTGGGCCTTGGTGTGTGCTTTTCTATGGGCCCCTGTTCCTGTTCCTGTCTGACTGATTCGTTGCTGACCCCCCCCCCCCCCCCCCCCCATGCCTGATCCGGACCTCTGCTGACTTCTCCTGTTTGATCCCTGGCTTGTGACCCCGACCATTCTCTGCCTGACCCCCTGTACCTACCTGCCCGTTAGTTGCTGTACCCGGCTCGTGACCTGACTACTCTCTGCCTGATCCTTCTGTTCCTACCTGCCCGATTGTTATTGACCCGGCCGGCCTGACTACGCTTGCACTGTATGTTTTGTTATCTGTGTGGGTGGTTTGGTTCGTTTGCACTGTGTTATGTTTCAGTATTGCACTACGTTTATGTATTGTTAGTGTTAATAAATTATATTGTTTTATAACATATCTGAAGCCTGCGTTTCCCTGCGTCAGTTCACATACCTCTGGTCATACCCGGGAGCCCTGACATTACACCAAGGCCAATCCTGACCAGAAGTGGCTGCACAGGGAAGCCATCTTGGCTTGTTGCTGGAAGGATGGATCTTGATGAGGTTGTGTATTTGTCGCTGCTAGTGTTTGATGACAGAGAATATGCTTATCAGACTCTGAAGGAGTATCCCAGGGATCAACTACTAGATTGTATACGGATCACTCATTGCCTAGTAGATCAGGGCACAGAATTCTCTGAGGTGGCAGCCATTGATTCAGGTTTGTGTAGAGTTGGCTTCATCTGGTACCCCTGAAAGCAGGAATGACTTTTTGCCACCATTTAGTGCAGACCAGGTAGAGTCCCCTGGTATGGTTATTAGAGGATGACGTGGATTACTTTCTGGAGCGTTATTCTGCATGTTCACCACAGGTACTAAGAGATTGTATAAACGCAGTACAGTCATTGACCAGACAGGCTTTGTGTAAACTGAGCTTTGTTCAACCCATACTGCAGACATGGTCAGACTTGTTGCACCCAGCCTCAGTCAGCTTACAACATCATTCCTCCACTCAAGGCACTCTTCCTGCATCTCCGACAGCACCCCCAGTGACTGCCCAGTATACTCTAACTACCACATACCAGTCCTACTGCTGCCCACTCGCTGCACCTATCCTTTCTTTAACCCTGTAAAGAAGTCCTCTGTAGCAACTGCTCCCTCCTCTGTTCCATCTTCCAGCTCTTCTCTGTCCTCAGCTGCTCCATTCGTTTGCAGACCTGCGTTTACTTGCAGTGCCCCAGTAGTTAAAAACCAGAAAAAAGTGGAAATTCTTTCCAACCAGTACTATCCTGCCAGTATCCAAACCGTGTGAGCCTGCCGTCTGAGAACCTGCCTTCTGTGGTTCAGCCTGGTGCCTCGGCACCCGCACTTCAGCCTGATGTCTGTACCCAGCCTGATGTCTGTACCCAGCCTGATGAACTGATCCAGCCTGATGATCCTATCACGCCTGATGACCCAGTGCCCGCTGTCGAGCCAGACGATCCGGTACCTGATGACCCGGTGCCCACTGTCATGCCTGGTGACCCGATGCCCGCTGTCGAGCCAGCCGATCCAATGCCTGATGACCCAGTGCCCGCGGTCATACCTGGTGACCCGATGCCCGCTGGCGAGCCAGACGATCCAATGCCTGATGACCCAGTGCCCGCCGTCATGCCTGGTGACCCGATGCCCGCTGTCGAGCCAGACGATCCAGCGCCAGATGACCCGGTGCCCGCTGTCGATCCAGACGATGCCAATTGACCAGAGCCCACTGGTGTGCCTGGTCGACTCGATGCCCATTGCCCTGTCGTGCCAGATTACGCGGTGCCCGCTGTCGAGCCAAATGACCTGATGCCTGGTGACCCGATGCCCGCTGTCGAGCCAGACGATCCAATGTCTGACCCAGTGCCCCCTATGCCCCGCGGTCATGCCTGGTGACTCAGAGCCCACTGTCATACCTGGTGACCCGATGCCCGCTGTCGAGCCAGACAATCCAATGCCTGATGACCCAGTGCCCGCTGTCATGCCTGGTGACCCGATGCCCGCTGTCGAGCCAGACGATCCAATGCCTGATGACCCAGTGCCCGCTGTCATGCCTGGTGACCCGATGCCCGCTGTCGAGCCAGACGATCCAGCGCCAGATGACCCGGTGCCTGCTGTCGAGCCAGACGATCCGGTACCTGATGACCCGGTGCCCGCTGTCGTGCCAATTGACTCAGAGCCCACTGTCGTGCCTGGTGACTCGGTGCCCACTGCCTTGCCAGATGACGCGGTGCCCGCTGTCGAGCCAAATGACCTGATGCCTGGTGACCCGATGCCCGCTGTCCACCAGACGATCCAATGTCTGACCCAGTGCCCGCGGTCATGCCAGTTGACTCGGAGCCCACTGTCGTGCCTGGTGACTCGGTGCCCACTGCCTTGCCAGATGACACGGTGCCCACTGGCGAGCCAAATGACCTGATGCTGGTGACCCGATGCCCGTTGTCGTGCCTGATGACCCGGTCCCCCCCCCCCCCCGCCGCCTGGGGGCCCGGTGTCTGCCGTCCCTCCTGGGGGCCCGGCGCCCGCCGCTCCATCTGGGGGCCCTTCGCCCGTCGCCCCGCCTGGGGGCCCGATGCCTGTCGCCCTGCCTGGGGGCCCGATGCCTATCGCCCCGCCTGGGGGGTCCGATGCCTGTCGCTCCGCCTGGTGGCCCGGTGCCTGCTGCTCCCCCCGGGAGCCCGGCGCCCACCGCTCCGCCTGGGGGCCCGGCGCCCGCCGCTCCGCCTGGTGGCCCGGTGCCTGCTGCTCCGCCTGGTGACCCGGTGCCTGCTGCTCCGCCTGGTGGCCCTGTGCCTGCTGCTCCGCCTGGTGGCCCGGTGCCTGCTGCTCCGCCTGGTGATCCGGTGTCCAGCCCGATGTGTGCCGCTGCCCGGAGTCCTGCCCGATGTGCCGCTGCCCGGAGTCCTGCCCGATGTGCCGCTGCCCCAGGAGTCCTGCCCAGCCCGATGTGCCGCTGCCCGGAGTCCAGCCCGATGTGCCTCTGCCCGGAGTCCAGCCCGATGTGCCTCTGCCGGAGTCCAGCCCGATGTGCCTCTGCCCGGAGTCCAGCCCGATGTGCCTCTGCCCGGAGTCCTGCCGATGTGCCGCTGCCCGGAGTCCTGCCCGATGTGCCTCTGCCCGGAGTCCTGCCCGATGTGCCACTGCCCGGAGTCCTGCCCGATGTGCCAGTCTTTGATATCCCGCCAGTTACCAGACCCGGGCGGTGGAACATTTTGCCCAGCTAGGACTGTTTGGAGCGTCCTGAGGCCGCTCCTTGAGGGGGGGGTACTGTCAGGAATGGACTTGCCAGTAATGGTGGGACTCACCTGCCTTGTGGGCTGCAGTACCAGGGTTGGCCAGCGGTGCTCTCAGCAATCAGAGACTCAACCCTGCAGCCAGCCAAACACCTGAAGCTGATTATGCAGGTGTATTTAAGGGATGGCCCAGACCTGCAGTCTGGGCCTTGGTGTGTGCTTTTCTATGGGCCCCTGTTCCTGTTCCTGTCTGACTGATTCGTTGCTGACCCTGCCTGATCCGGACCTCTGCTGACTTCTCCTGTTTGATCCCTGGCTTGTGACCCCGACCATTCTCTGCCTGACCCCCTGTACCTACCTGCCCGTTAGTTGCTGTACCCGGCTCGTGACCTGACTACTCTCTGCCTTATCCTTCTGTTCCTACCTGCCCGACTGTTATTGACCCGGCCGGCCTGACTGCGCTTGCACTGTATGTTTTGTTATCTGTGGGTGGTTTGGTTCGTTTGCACTGTGTTATGTTTTAGTATTGCACTACGTTTATGTATTGTTAGTGTTAATAAATTATATTGTTTATAACATATCTGAAGCCTGCGTTTCCCTGCGTCAGTTCACATACCTCTGGTCATACCCAGGAGCCCTGACAGAAAAGGTGCGATATTCTAGGCCCAAAGTGTGTTCCACTCTAATCAGCTATATAGGCCATAACACCTGCAAAGGGTTCCTGAGCCTTTAAATGGTCTCTCAGTCTGGTTCAGTAGGAATCACAATCATAGGAAAGACTGCTGACCTGACAGTTGTGCAGAAAACCATCATTGACACCCTCAATAAGGAAGGAAAGCCTCAAAAGGTAATTGCAAAAGAAGTTGGATGTTCCCAAAGTGCTGTATCAAAGCACATTAATTGAAAGTTATGTGGAAGGGAAAAGTGTGGAAGAAAAAGGTGCACAAGCAGCAGGGATGACCGCAGCCTGGAGAGGATTGTCAGGAAAAGGCTATTCAAAAGTGTTGGGGACTTTCACAAGGAGTGGACTGAGGCTGGAGTCAGTGCATCAAGAGCCACCACACACAGACGGATCCTGGACATGTTTGTGATTCCTACTGAACCAGACTGAGAGACCATTTAAAGGCTCAGGAACCCTTTGCAGGTGTTATGGCCTATATAGCTGATTAGAGTAGGACACTTTGAGCCTAGAATATCGCACCCCAATTTTCAAATTTTCTGAGATTGTGGATTTGGGGTTTTCATGAGCTGTAAGCCATAATCATCACAATTATGACAAATCACGGCTTTAAACTATCTTGCTTTGCATGTAATGAGTCTATCTCATATATTAGTTGCACCTTTTAAGTTGCATTACTGAAATAAATAAACTTTTGCACGATATTCTAATTTTTTGAGTTTCACCTGTATATCTATTTAGACAATCTAAGCAGCAGCAGACTGAGAATGATTGGCACTGGGGCCACGGTAGCCACCACCACATATTTTAGGGAAACACGCACAATTCACAGCATTTGCTGTTGCAATTCTGACCTTAAAAAAATATCTCAGTATTACTCAATGTTCAAAAGGAATGTAACAGAGATTTCAAAAGGGTTTTTAACTAAAATCAAAAAAGTTCTTTTAATTTTTAACTAATATCAGAGATTTCGCCTAATCACTGAAATAAAGGAAAAGGAAAATAGTGCAAGAAAATATTTACAGAAAAAAAATCATAAAACTGCCATTAAGCAAGAGTAAAATAAACAGCATAAAAAGTGAAAAGTATTTAGCAAGGTTGACCTGGTTTGGTTCCATGAACAGTCCTATTTGCTTGCTTAGTAAGTCCTGTTTGCTGTATGAGAGTCACTGACTCTCAGAAACATGACTCTCAGTAGCCTGTGTTCACAATACAGCAGAACAACCACTTGGCACAGGAACATGAAGATAGTGAGGATCGCTGTAGTAGCGGTGGCTGCAACAGAGATTCTTTGCTTCCACAGGGTTTAGCCAGGCATGAAATATGCATTCTTGCATTGATCTAAGCTGGACCAATGTAACTATGCAAAAAACCATACCTGGAGTTCAGCTTTAAAGTATTTTATTATGTTCTAGCAGACACCCCCTTATGTCCTTCTGTTTGCATCTTTATTTCCAAATGACAAGGTTTTGCAATTCACCCACCAACATATTATTGAACAGAAGGATATTATGACTCGTTACAGGCCAAATATGATAAGTACTGCATGTTATGCATTAATCACCTAAACGATCTAATTTGCTTTATTAGCTTACTGGACCTAGTAGTATAGGTGGGTTTAGTGTCAATCTTTCCGTATATTACAGTAACCACTTTTTATGGATATAACTCCATTACAGTAAAAATTATGGATATTGTATGAAACTTAATTCAGGGCAGTTCTTCCGTATGTCTGTGTAGTTCACTACCCACAGTCTGACAGATTTGCATTCCTTAGAGCTGAAGTTCAGGCAAAACCTAAAGAAGGTAAACCTACTCCTACCAACATTCTAAGGCTATTCTATCTACCATGTAAATAAAGATCTGTATACTTACCTATTCTAAAGTTGTTCTGGTCCGGTCACATAATCTCTACTTCTGAGTACAGAGAGAGATCACCAACAATGGTTGGAAATGCCTAGGAGATGAGGTCACCCATAGACTTACTATGGGGCATTCATTGTCCGCTGCCCCTCCTCTACACAGAAGCTGCCACTGACATCTGATCCTGGGATCGGACCAGAGTGGCTTCAGAATAGGTAAGTATACAGATCTATTAGCCTTAGAATGGGGGTGGGGGTAGGTTTAGCCTTAGTTGGGTTTTGCCTGAACGTCCTCTTTAAATGTAAGGTTTTAAAACAAGATAATTGTGATCAGGCCCATTAGGAGTCTTCTGCAGACTGTGTTAGAGGAGATTTTATGACACCGTTGCATGCATTTGTAGCTGGTCTGTGTTGTGTCAAAGGTCCTGCAGTCTGGTCTGTAAATTAAATGTAAAGTGAAACAAAAAGAAAGCGCATCAACCTTGTGTATTACCTCAGTAAACTGTGATTTTATTAAATTGAGAAATATACCCACAAACAGAGAAGTATAACAAGCATATAGTGTCCTCAACTGAACTTTTGAAGTGTAAAACCAGTGTGGGTCACATCATGAGGGCAGACTCACAAAGTAAGTCTGACGCGTTTCCAAGGGGCTCTGATGAAGAAGGGATCCCCGTCTAAATGCATCAGCTTACTTTGAGAGTCTTCCCTCGTGATGTGACTCGCACTGGTTTTACACTTCAAAAGTTCCGTTGAGGACAGTATACGCTTGTTATACTTCTCTGTTTGTGAGTATATTTCTCAATTTAATAAAATCACAGTTTACTGAGGTAATGTGCAAGGTTGGTGTGCTTTCTATTTGTTTCACTTTACAGTACTGGTCGGGCCCAGCCTTGTGTAGAACCGCACAACCTTGTATGCATTGGTGGGCGTATTTCCACAAGCACTTTTTCCATCCATCCACCCTTGCTCTGGGTCGTAGAGCGCAGGAGGTGTTGTTTCTTTTTTTCATGTCAATTAAATGTCTCAGCTTCTCTGGCTGCCCACCACATGCATGAGATTTAAATCTAATGGTATTGACTTGTGCATTTTGGAGAAAGGAGGGGGGGGGGGCACTGTGTGCAATCAAACGTCTCCACTATCTCCAGACAGTTTGGGGTCACCAATACTTATTATCATGACAACTTGCACTAAACAAAACCTGAACATTGATTGTGTTTGGTGTACAGGGAAATAGTGAGGATGGGAGATAATTTTCTTTATCAGTCTTTAAATTAAACTCTTTTACCAGTATTGCCAATTTTATTAAGGGGTAAATCCACCTGTTATATTAGTTATTTTTTAGATGTAAGAGAGTTAAAAAAAGCTCTAGTTCCAAGCTCTGCTGTGGCCCTTACCAAGGCTTCCCACTCTACCTCATGGATATTTAATTTTATATGAAGGAAAATGCAACGTGAGCCACTAAAACTCACAAATGTGGTCAGGAACAACTGAAACTTCCAGGTGGACAATAACAAAGTTGATAATTTTAGCAAAGAGATATTGATTTTGGAATATCAAAGACATATAGGAAGCCAAGGGCTGACCATACTCCTTCTACATATTAGAAGTGTAGACCAGTGTTACGGTATGAAGTGTTATCTGTTATTAGAAACACTCCTCAGATGCATTCCATGGTTACTGAACAATGGCAATGAGAACAGTGGCAATGACGTAGCCCCTTCATCATGGTATATCTGTCTCTCCTTACTTATGTTCATTGAGGGAGTATAGGCTCCATCAGACTCTTCCCTCTGGGAGTGTAACATGCCTGTGTACCCACCATCTGCTGTGATTCCATTCTTCAGGCCCCTATGTTTTTTCTGGACACGATAGAGACATAGGGGTCAGTGGAAGGAACTACGTCATTCAGAAGGAAACACAGGTATCCAAAATGCAAATGTAAAATTCTGACGAATGACAATTGATAATGTCGAATGCTGAAGAGAATGAGAGAGGCTGTTGTGCGTCAACAGAGCTAAGAT